TCTGATCCAGGAAATGCTTTCACAGCTTTAACAGCATAACTTAGACACTAAGATACTACAGTAACAGTGTCTATTTAAGTAAGTAAGTTCACGTTACTACATAACGAGAGCTTTTGCTCTTGACAGAATTGTAACAGACGGTCTCCTCTCTCTTTTCGATTTCCCAGACCATAGTTTCCTATACACTTTCCGCTTTGTCCCTTTCCAAGCTTTGCATTAAGATCACCTTGGACTATCGTGATTTCTCTCGTTTTCGTTATTCTAAGTGCCTCTTCGATATCTCGGTAAAATAATTCTACTTTTTCTTTGTCGGCATTCGCCGTAGGAGCATAAACTTGTATCAAATTCAGTTTAGCATGAAATGTCACTAACTTTAGTACCATTACCCTTTCTGAGATAGGGAAATAACATTCCTCAAGCGTTTCTGGTATTATACAAAGGATCTGAATCAGAATTTTGGATATGTTGCAATGCACTGGAATGCCAGGCTAAGTTTTGTTGAGAGTTAAAAGAAGATTTTTCTGGTATGGGATGTTAGGGTTGTTGTTGAGAGAGAGAGAGAGAGAGTATGACAATTTTTCAGGTCGTGAATTAGGGAAAAGAAGGTTTTCTTCATGCGCTTTTTTGTCGTATCCTTTTTAAATGACTCTTCTTTTGCTGTTTGAATTAAATACCACCTGTTTGAAATAAACGCTTCGTAGTGAAGGATTTAAAGTTGTGAGTTCTGCTTGGGGATGGCATGACAGAGTCGTTAATGCTAGCATTAGTGTTTTGGTTGTCATTGGACTTCCTGTTCCTAAGAGCTGGGAAGTCACCTGCATGCATGACAAATTTATCTTTTTCTATGTATGTTTTTGAATGGCTTCATTTGCATCATAAAAAGTCATGTTTTCAAAAGCCATTAACTCTTTGATATTTTTTTGCCTAAGGAATTTTGGGCAATTCTTGTCTGTGGCTTTATGTGGTCCCTTACAGAAGAAGCATTTGGCTTCACATACTTCGGAATGTGCAAGTTCACCGCAGTTAATGCAGCGATCTTTACTTTTACAATTTGTTTTCATGTGACCGAACCTCAGACAGTTAAAACACTGGTAACTGGTGCAATATAAACATTAACTAATTTAGGCATGCCGTAAAAGTTTACTGTTTTAGGCATTATTATACCTTTAAAAGTGGAAAGCGCTGTGCCTGTTGGTTCATAAGTAACTGTGTCATTTTTATATACTTTTCTATTAAGTCTTTTAACATTTAATATTTCAATATCAGTACCCGTACTACAACATTCTAATAATTCCTTATCACCAATCTCTATGTCTATTTGTCGAACTATGCCCTTACAAGTTACAAAATTAAAAGGAATATAAATCTTATATCCCTTGTAAAGTAGAGTTTTATTATTTAAAAATTCGTTTGCTGATGTGAAATTAATAAATTCAATCGCAATCCTATTTAAGCCTTTACTACATATTTTCTTAACTGCTTTTAAATAACCATTAAAAATTATTTTACTTTAATAAGAACTTTAGTGTAAATTTGACAAAAGAAGAATTGTTGTACCTAACAATACTTAGAATCATCCAAAATCACATAAATAAAAGTAATGTTAAATAATTGTATGACTTAGAGACTGCAAAAAACATCCCATTTTAAGTGGGTTGTCAATGATAAAACAATCATTGCAGATTTCTTTTGTGTGCTTTTTGCATGAACAATGCAACGCCCGACATAATTCTTAGGCCGCGAAGGGGATTATTTTCTATGCCCAGCAGATATTGAGCTCGCTTCCCCATTTCTCTTGACAACCGAGGAATTGTTGATCTAACTTCAATTTCGATCGACCTATCATATCCACGCCTATGTTGGTGTTGTTATTGGTGGTGTCACCACGCCTAAGTGATCATTACTGGCTTTCTATCATCTCCAGTATCTTCATCTATAGCATCATCATTATGAATGAAGCATATTAATACCACTGACTTATTTTCTTTGGGAGATATGACACCATAGTACAATCAGCTTGAAAACCAAAAAGAGACGACTTAACTTCTCGATTTTTCTGAGGCAAAAACTCTTGAGGATCCTCTAGTCTATTTTTTCTTAGAGTATCCAAATATGTTTCCTTCAGTAAACTGTTGACCAATAATAAACTGCTAAACCAGTTGTCTGTCGTAATATTACGACTGGTACCTGTGATGGCTCTACCTACCGAAGAGTTATTTCGTTACTGGTATTTATAAATTTGTATGGACCTTTTGGCTGAGTTCCCATGTAAGTTTCGAAATTGAATGTCTAAAAGGTTTTTGCGTCTACCAGAGCAAATATGCCATGTGCCGTTTTGATGCCATATTTAGCTGGCTTCGTTGGGATGTACTGCTTAAACGCACCACATCCTCTAAATGCTAATAGTTGTTCATCTACTGTAAGATACTCACTAGGAATGAAGTTATTTTGGAAATTCACTAAAAATATTTCCAGAAGTTTTCTAATGGGTGTAAGTTTATCGATTTCTCTTCGCTCTGTTCTTGTCTTCACATCATCGAACCGTAGATATCTTATGAAAAATCAAAACCTCTTGCTCAAGTTTATTTCCAGTGTTGTGTAGAAACTTTACTGGAAGGAATGGAACTTTTCTTTGGAAAATCCGAGAGAGTATTTGCCCTCAGCGATGACAAGGAGTTTTGAATGTTTGCTTGGCTCGGTTGTTTAAGCCAGCTATAGTGCGGATGACATATCTCTTCTGAGGGTTCGGATTCTGTCCTTAATTGGTGTTAGGTTTGCTAATTGGTGGATTAGTGCTCACGGGTAGCCTTTGCGCTTCCTTGTGCAGAATATGAGTATTTTTCTTTCGTTGGCCATAATGGTGTTAATTTGAGGTAAATTTATTTACGTTTCTCGTGCGGCGGCTGCTCTTTTATACGGTCTAAGGCCTTTCATCTTATTTAGCGTACATCGATGAAAAGGAACTTATGGTGAGAATGCGTGTGTATGGAGTGTTGACAGAAACGAAGCGATGAATATCGTTACACGGTAAGCCCTTGGGACTGGGCGGACTAACGTCATAAGTATCTGGGTCGTCCTTCACTGGTGAAGTATTCATTAGTAAAATATTTGAAGTGCACACACAGTACTTTGAAGTGTACACACACGTCAACGTTGGAAAAGCAACTGAGACGACCATAGGCAAATTCATAGAGGTCTACATTGCGTAAAACATGACTTTTACAATATTTGCTGTAGTCCTTGTGCTATACATCATCTTCAACCTCAGTTGATATGATCACGTCGTCTGCAAAGTGCAAAGTAAATAGTTTATCATCTATAGATATATCTATGTTATAATACTATGCGTCGCCATTGTCATAGAACTGAATTAAATATTTTAAATTGGTTGGAGCCATTGTGCAAACTTGTGTGAAATTGTGTAGTTTCTAAAAACGTACATATGGCATCAAAAAGAAGAAATTTTAAACGTTTTAGATCCTTTTTGACTTTTGACCGAAACCTCACGAATCTTTTAAAGTTTTATTTTACCTTCCGATCAAAAACAACTTTTTGACTAGACTTTTTGGTAGATCTAGGAATATGTGTTTTTAAGTTTTTGGCACTTTTTTCTCCAAAAATTCTTTTATGCAAAACAGGTTATAAGTATGTGACCTTCCTACATGGAAACTCTTTGCTTCTCCACTTCCGTAACTTAGTTCTCTATTTTTTCTTTTATAATCTTGCCGTAAAATTTAGAAACGTCTGTAGCACTTTCTACTGACACCTTTTGTATAGACGTTTAATACGAAGCTGTTTTCCATTTAGGTGATTCTGAAAAAACAATTGAACAAAAAAGCGGGTAGTTGCAGTAGTGAATCTGATCTATACTATAAAACTTTAATGAAGAGACCGATAGGTCCAGAAGCTCGTCCATTTTTCATTGTTATTAGGACTTTCTTTACTTTGAGTTTTATTCTATAAACAAATCTCTGACTGGAAAGACTGGGCCATTATCTTTAGTAAGAATTGATGGTCGATCTTCAGACAGTAGATTTTGATAATCTTTCCAATGTTTTAGCGATACTAGACTAAACTCTTCCTTCGTTCTTAGGGATTTTATTGCTCTCCATGCTTCGCTTGCTCTGCTAAAGCCTATGGTCTGGTTTATTTCTTTACATTGATTGACCCATGTTCTATTTTTTGCCTTCAGCACTACTTTTTGACATCTTTACAGCATCTTGTATCATATTTCCTGTCATCTGCGTCCTTTGTCGTTAACCATGTGTTATCTGCCCGTTTTTTCTCAGCTACCTTTACTGTATTTGTCTCCCAAGGCTTCTACAGCCACTTCAAGTAGAAATTTTATTGCATTTCGATATATATTTAGGGCAGACGAATACGCCGCATCATTGGGCTTTGAGTTTAAAATCTTTTTGTTTTTAAATTTGGTTTGGATATAATGTGGTCGATTAGTGATTTTTGCTGAAGTGTAGGCTAAGTCCATGTATTTATGTGTACATCTATGAATGTATTTATGTTTGGAAAATCCATTTCTATGTGCCTATCTCCATTTTCATTTACATCCTTCTCTCCATACGGCCTAATATCGGCGTCATTTGGTCTAGATCCTGTGTCCATTAAGTCTCCAAACATAAAAATTTTCTTTTTGCTGCTGATATTATCTAAAAGTTGGCTTAGTGTTTCATCGTGGTCGTCTTTAGCAGCAACTGTGTCATCGTTGGATGAGACGTACACCTATGTTATCCATTATTTCATAACCTTTTACTATGAGTTCGACTTTTATTATGCGTTCATTTACAGCATCCCAATTTTTGATACATCCGGCTTTCTTCATTTTTTATGAGTATAGTTACGTCCGTCTTTGTTCTCTAATCCTTGTTTATACCTTTGAAAGATCACCTTTGATCTTTAAAAGATTATCAACAATATCAGATACATGGTTTAATTAATATTTCAAAAATTTATATATTGATTTAATATATTAATTTTTTTTATAGATACCTCTACTGAAATATATTACCAAACGCAAAATGCTTCAGTAATAGTGGAAAGCACAGAACCAAACTTTACTTCTGAAAAGACTGGTTACACAAAACACATAACTCAAACACCGATCAAAACATCAACTTTTAGTGAAAGTTTTAGAGAGAATACAACATTAAACGAAACTATAACATCTTCTAAAAGCAATGTTTATAAAAGTAGAGTACCAACTGAAAGCGAGATCACAACTGAAAATGCTACTACAGAGATCAAGGAACAATCCGAAATTCCAATAACGCCAGAAAAAAATGCAGAAACTTCGTGGAAACACACAATAGCCACTTTTCAAGATACATTATCGTCAGTGAAACGGGCTACTGAAACTCTGCCAACAAATATGAAAGTTTTAACTGAAATAAGTCCAAGTACAGAAATACTACTTGGTTCTGTTCTTACAACAAAAACAAAGGAAGTTTCCATTCAAGAAGTTACACCAAGCAAAGAAGAAGAAACTTTTTCTGACGAACTAAAACTAACCGAAGAAATAAAAACTACTACAATTTCACTACTGACTGAAGAGAGTAGTACTGTTCACAGAATTGCAGAAGAAATGAGTAGCGAAATGACAACTGAACCAACAGTTTTTCACGAAGTTTTAAATACAACCCTAGAAGAAAATACAATATTGTCTACTGAAAGCAGTTATTTTTATAAGGCTACAGGAGAATTTGAAAGCCAAATGACAACTGAAAATGCTACTATAGAGTTAGAAGAACAATCTGAAATCTCAATGACGACTGGAGAAAATGTAGGCATTTCGTGGAAATACCTAACAGCCACTTTCCAAGATACATCAGAGATACCAGTTACTGCAACTGTAAAAACAAGTGCGGAAGTTTCAACTGAAATGATTCCTAGTAAAGAAGTAGTAGTTAGTTCTGTTGTCACAACAAAAACAGAGGAAGTTTCCATTCAAGAAGTTACACCCAACAAAGAAGAAGAAACTATTTCTGATGAACTAAAATTAACCGAAGAAATAAGAACTACTACAATTTCACTACTGACTGAAGAGAGTAGTACTGTTCACAGAATTGCAGAAGAAATGAGTAGCGAAATACCAACTGGACCAACAGTTTTTCACGAAATTGGTAATAAAACCCTAGAAGAAAATACAACATTGTCTACTGAAAGCAGTTATTTTTATAAGGCTACAGGAGAAATTGAAAACCAAATGACAACTGAAAATGCTACTATGGAGTTAGAAAGAACCATCTGAAATCTCAATAACGACTGAAGAAAATGTAGGCATTTCGTGGAAATACCCAACAGCCACTTTCCAAGATACATCAGAGATACCAGTTACTGCCACCGTAGAAACCAGTGCGGAAGTTTCAACTGAAATAATTCCTAGTACAGAAGTAATTAGTTCTGTTGTCACAACAAAAACAGAGAAAGTTTCCATTCAAGAAGTTACACCCAGCAAAGAGGAAGAAACTATTTCTGACGAAGTAAAACTAACTAAGGAAACAAACACTACTACAAATTTAATAGTTACTGAAGAAAGTAAAAGTTTACATATAGTTACAGAAGAAATAAGTAACGAAATGACAATTGAAAATGCCACCACAGAGCAAGAAGAAAAATCAAAATTGCCAATAGTGTCAGAAGTAAATATTGACATTACAGAAAAATATACAACAGAAACAACCATTTTACACGAAGCTAGGAGTAGATCGTTTTCCGACATACTAGCTCCTTCAGGTAAAGAAACAAGCACAGAAGTTTCCGCTGATAACATTACTAGTGGACAAATAAAAGTTAAAGAAGAATCTAAAACGAAGAGTACACAGAAAGAAATTAAAGAGACTTCAAAGTTAGAATTTTCTACAACACCAGAATATAAAAGACCTCTTAAAATTACAAGCACTCAAAAACAGAAGAGTTCGATTTTAGAAAGTACCATCCTCACTCATACATTTTCTCAAGAAACAGAGACTACTACAATAGAAGCTACAGAAGGTTTAACTGAAATAATAAACTTACCTTGTGACGATTTCTTAGTAACCTTGACAGAAATTAGTTCAGCAAGTACGCCATCGACTGAGTTATCTTCAGAAGAAAATATTCCAATGGAAATCATATCTGCAGAAGAAAACGTAGATATTACCGAACAAGTAGCTGAATCGTTTTCTGGTGCAGAAAACCTAGATGCTACAGAAGAAATACAAAGAGATGCGACGAAGAAAAATGTAAATGGGAAGAAAATTAAAAATATAATGGTTTATTTAAACGATTCAGTTACAACACCGAAACCTACAAAAACAATAGTAATAATTGTTAATAACTCTGGTAAACGGCTTCACAAATTAAATGAAACAACTTTAGAGAAACTGGTGAACAAGACAATAGATGAAGTGAATTTAGAATATATTGACCTGAATAATCTATCGCAAGAAGCGGAAATACAGAATGGGTCTGAGAATGCTGAACTTGATATTCCTGACATTTTGAAAGGTTTGTAAAAGTAATTTTTTTTCTATCTGGCTAAACCAAATTGCAGTTATCTTAATTTATAATTATTTTTTATTTAGTTTATTGTGTCTCAACTACAAGGTTATTGACACTGGGTCAATTTTATTACTATACATTTTACATTACCTTAGATGCATTAGATATCTGTAGATAACTGTAATTTTCGGCCTATTAGCCAATTCATTTGACGTATTTTCATTGGATGTTCGTTGATTTGGATTTTTTGACAAGATGTGTGCTTTCCAAGTGAGCTTTTGATTAAGTGTCATTCCCAGGTATTTGACTTCTGTTTTTACTGGTAATAATATATTGTTCAGTTTGATTCCCAGATATATGATGTTCCTGCTGGTGAATGTAATTTGATTAGACTAGTATGGTTAACTTTGATTTTCCATCTATTCATCTTGTCTTGTAGTAGGTTCAGTTGTATTTAAAGGTTTCCTGATGCTACTTGGGGGTCATCATCAATGTGGTCGTATTTATTGTTGGGATATGTGGTCGTATTTATTGTTGGGATACATAAATACTGTGGTCGTATTTATTGTTGGGATATCAGCAGTGTATATGAGGTACAGGAGATAACCTAGGATACTTTCTGTAAGGAATCTGACTTGAAAGTCACCTTCTGTGAGGTATAATTTTAAGAGTAGATAGTGAGGAGTGTGAAAGGATGACTTAAGTTTATACAGCTGGCCATCATGCCAAACACGGTCGAAGGCTTGTTCTATATCCAGGAAGGCAGCAGTGCAATTTTTTTTTCTCTTTGAGGCATACATTAATGTATTTTACAATCCTATGACATTGTTGTAGAGTTGAATGAGCTTCGCGGAAACCAAACTGGTGTGTTGGGATCACTGAATTGATTTCGATGTTATTAATATGCTGCTTGAGTCCATTTCAAATAGGTTAAAGAAATAATAAATAAGACTTACTCACAATCAGTTTAATTTTACTATCTAGACGACCGGTATCGCTTTCTACAATATGCAAAGCATCTTCAGGTCTGTCGATACAAAGTTAATTAAATGATGCCAGTACACTATTAATTAATAGTTGGAAGAACATAGTTCAAACTATCCTGTATTGCTGAATGGAAACCGGTCGTCTAGATAGTTTATTTATTTATTTATTAAAACTTACAAACACCACCTAGGTAGTAATTACATGTAAGAGTGCTCATTACTTGGTATAACAATATACACACAAAAAATACAATATACACACAAGTACATAATAAAAACACACAAAATAAAACACATTAATAAAAAGACACAAGTTAATAAAATATTAGAAATTGAGTCCATTACTTATCATACTTATTTATAACATTTTTTAATATCCCTTACACTACAGGTAAAGAGGTCTATATCACAGATCTTTATTAACTCATTGCACTGATATTGCATATAGTTTATTATTGCACCTGAATTATAAGGACTACAAGAAAATAGGTCATTACTGTTTACCCTTAGGTTGACCTTTGGCACATGAAACCTAATAAAGTTTATCAAACCACATGTCTTATATTTAACATTGTTAATGATATTATGAATAAACACAACGCAATACATGTTTCTTCTTTGCTCTAATGACTGCAAGCCAAATATTTGAAGCAACTCTTTTGATGGCGTAAGGTGAGTATACACATTGTATTTCTTAAGGTATAAATACCTTAGGAATCTTTTTTGTACCTTTTCTATATGATTAATATGAACTTTGGCTTCAGGAGTCCATACCACTGATGCATATTCCAAGTTTGGTCTGACTAAAGCGTTATATAGTCTAATGGTTGTGTTTATACTAAAGTGTTTAGAATTTCTTATTACAAATCCCAATATTTTGTAGGCCTTATTAACAATATTTATATAGTGTTCATTAAATTTCATGTTAGCCTGTAGGTATATTCCCAGATCTTTACATTTGGTTTTCCTAGATACTACACAATTGTCAATTCTATAATTATTTTCAATGTAATCAATTTTGCGAGTGAAGGATATGACTCCACACTTCGTAATATTCAAGATCATATTGTTGTCCCTAAACCATTCCACAACTGAGGTCAGGTCCTCCTGTAGTAACTGACAATCATTTGAAGTATGTATAGTCTTAAAAAGCTTAAAATCATCAGCATAGATCAGACTAGAAGAAAATTTAAGAGATTGTGGTAGTGAGTTGACAAAAATTAAGAAAAACAAAGGCCCTAAGTTGCTCCCTTGGGGGACACCAGATGTAGCCTGAAATTTATCTGATAAACACCTACCAATTTTGACTCGTTGAAACCTTGATTCCACATACGATTTTATAAATGTACAAGCATCATGCGAAAAACCAAACTCATTCAATCTCGATAAAAGAATGCCATGGTCAACCATATCAAATGCCTTTGAGCAGTCAGTCATTATTAAATCTAATTGGAGTTTATTATTTATTGCCTCACTAGCAAAATTAGAAAGAATGCACAGATTACTAGTTGTGGATAACCCAGGCAAAAAACCATGTTGTTCTGGAGCAAATTCATTTTCAAAATTTTTCAGTATATTCATATAGAGAATAGATTCAAATATTTTAGCCAGGGAATTAAGGATACTTATAGGACGATAGTCTTCTATATTGTTTCTATTACCTAATTTAAAAACTGGAGTAATGGTAGCCTCTTTGAGTTTGTCTGGAAAGGTGTTAGTTTTAAGAGATAGATTAAATAGATGTGATAATGGTTTTTGAAATATATCAGAACATCCTTTAAAGATATAGGCAGGGATATTATCACTACCAGTGGCCTTTTTTGGCTTTAATTTTTTTATACTAACCTTCACATCTTCTTCACTAATAACTGAAAAGTTAAAAGATCCCTGTGAACTACCCTGATGTGTAGATGATACCTGATAAATTGAGCAAAAATGATGAGAGAAAGCCATGGCAATATCCTGAGGGCCTGTATAGGTATGATCATTTAAAGACATCTCGTGAGGAAAACTGTTGGTTTGTCTCCTACTTCTTATGAATGTCCAAAAACTATTTGGGTCATGCAAAATGTTATCTTCAATATTATTTTGATGCTGCATAAATTCATTTTTGATTTGCTTTTTAATAGTATTTCTAAGACTCCTGAATTTATTGTTATCGACAGCACTAGCTTTCCTTATTTTTATATGTTTGCTTAATTTGTTTTTTTGTCTGATTTTTGTAATAAGGTCTATACTAAAATAAGCTGGATATTTCTGTTTTTGTCTTATTTTTAATAATTTTCTTTGGGATGGCTTGATCAATGCAGTCATACAATTTATCGTAAAATTGATTAATACAATCTGTAGCAGTTATACAATTATACATATCTGACCAGTCAGTGTCTCTTATTAATTCATACAGAAGATTAAAGTCCCCCCTGGCATAATCATACCTATAAAACTGTTGTATATTACTCTTAGTGTATGAATTATCTTTATATTCTAGTAACATTTCTACTGCCGGGTGATAATAATCTTCAGGTACCAAAGGAGAGCCAGACCTAGTTAGATTGGTTATGGATATGTTTGACAGTATAAGATCAAGCAGTTTATTTTTACAATTTGAAATTGTATTATATTGATTTAAATTGTTTAGATTTTGAAATTCTTTAAGTTAATAAATCCAGGAATATTAAAATCTCCAAATATGATAATATTAATATTTTCTGACAATACTTGGTTATAAAATTCTAAAAGTTCTTCATAAATATCTAACCTTACACCAGGAGGTATATATACACAGGAGACATAAAATGAATATGTTTTAAACCTTACCTTAAGTAGCAAGCACTCAACAATTACATTACAATTAACTTTAATACTTTCTACAATACTCCACCACCCAATGTCTTGCCACTGGCCCTATCTTTGCGAAAGACTATGTAGCGATTATCAAAAAGTTCTTCATTGGAGATTCCATCTATAAGCCATGTTTCAGTTAATAGGATTATATCAAAATCTTCACTAAGAACATTGGTATATAGGTCACTTGTTTTAGTGCGTAGGCCTCGTACATTTTGATAGAAAATGTTTAGATTTTGGGTCTGCAATGTTTGCATCATTAATTAAATAGTTAAATTAAACTGATTGTGAGTAAGGGTTATTTATAATTTCTTCTACCTAATTTCGATGTCTTCTGAGACTCTTTGGAGTAGAAGTCTTTCTAAGATTTTTGATATTATTGGAAGTAAGCATATTAAGTAGTAATATTTGGTGGTTTAGTTGGTTTACTAATCATAATTATTTGTGCGAACTTTTAATTAATCGGTAGTAGAATGCAACATCAATGAAAAAAACTGGAATCATTCGAGCTGTGGGTGTTTAGAAGAATTCTGAAACTATCGTGGACAGAACATGTCACAAACAAAGAAATTCTGAGAAGGATGAATAGAGAAATGGAAATTTTAAATACAATTAAAATAAGAAAAAATGGTGCTGAGAGAGTGGTACGGATGTACATCAAATAAACATTTCAGAGCAGAAGTCTCAAAAGTCCGAATAACTATGATGATTGCTGACCTCCGCCGCGGAGATGGCACTTGAAGAAGAAGAAGACTAATTTTATGATACTATTATATATCATTGTTAGTAGGACAATTGCTTTTCTCGGTAATTTTTTTAATATTAACCCGGTGATCATGTCGAAGCCTGGTGCTTTGTAATTATTGCATCTAGAAATTTATTATTTCACTTTATTAAGAGTAAAACATTTGATTGGTAACATAATTGGGCATGAAGTGTCTAAAAGGTTTTTAACTTGTTCTTCGTTATTAAATTAAGTTAAGGTGCACCAAAAATATATGTGAGAGATGTGTAGCAAAGATTGATGCCTTTTCTTGTTTAGTTTTTTCCATCTTCCATCGGCTTTTCCTTAGAGGAGGTATGTGCTATGTAAGCCTTTTGAATGATTTTGTTGCTTTTCCAGATGCTGTGATCTTCTTTTGGCAGGCTGCTGATGAATAGTTTAAATGTATCTAT